TTGTTTAGGATGTATGGACACCTATATAAATAAATGTTAAGTGGATCTAAATTTATTTAATTAGTTGTATTGAGATTATGAATTAGTGGTTGATAGGATAGTTACTTTTCGTAAAAAATTAAGAGTACTGCACCCTGTCTACTGTAAGGAAGAGCTTTCTTCGGGAGTCTCATGTTAGTACAAAACATTTATTTACAGCTTATTAGTTTATGAACATTCTTTTGTTGACGTTAATGATTGATGAAACCTATTTTCAAAAGTCCAGAAACGTTTATTTATCCGTACAACATGGACTTTTGAAACTTCACTTTTTTAAAACCTAGAAGCAGTATACTGTTTTACTAAAGAGGAACAATGTAGTTGTAAAATCTCTGCGAAAGAAGTTGAAGTAAATGCAACGTTTCGCCTGGCAATCTAGTCCAAGCTTTTTCAAGGAAATAACGCTGTGAAATAATACTGTGAAACTATTCGATCAAATTTAAACGAAAGTTTTTATCCATTATTGTTATTTACTATCGAAGAAAATTTACAATTTGTATAACCACCGAATTTTCAGTATACTATTTCGTTCATTAATTCCTACTTTTAACCTAAGTTTTTCCATCTAGTTATTCCGCCACAGATAGGGATTTAAGTTATTCAGTAGTACGAAACCGACTATTAAGCTTTGAAAAGTTATAGAAGGAGTTCTATTTTGTTGAAGTAAAGTTAAAAATGTCCAAACTTTGTAGTTTGAGTTTCTTCTGCGGTGTACTCCCCTATGAATGAATTCTAATGATTAAACAATATCGTCAGATAAAAGTTGATTTTAGCATAAATAAATGAGTTTATAAGGAAAAATCAATCAATTTGAATAGCTTGCCTTAAGTTCGGAAAATACTAGGTTCTATTTCACATGAGTTGCAGAGTGCTTATCATTCTGAATTTTCAGATTATAACGAAATGACTGACCATTTTCAAGTTGTTTTCAATTATTTTACAATGAACCTTTGTTCGTGTTGAGAATGTTTTTCAGATTCACGGTTTTAGTTGATGCTTAATAGACGAATATATGATAAACACACTTAAGCATGGGACATATCAGATATCTATATAGACTGTTTAAATATACCTTATCACTTTATCAAAAAATCAGAAATTCAATTGTGTCAGTCTTATGCATTTCCTATCAGTTATCTTGAAAATAAAGATAAACTGATGAGTGAACTTTTTATTTATATTTAACTGGAGATTTGTTTACATTACTAATTGTAAGTAGTTATAAATTTGTTATTCTCTGAAGATATAAAGGGAATACAAGAAGAATAATATTAATAATAATAATATAATGATAATCCTGGGATATTCATTGATGATTAACATGGACTTTGATTTTCAGAGTTATAAACAAATGAAATTGTAAACGTGTGTTAGGTATTAAAACAATAATTGACCAATATTCAAACACCTAACTTCAAGAATTATAATAGTTCACTCACTTTGTTTATCTGATATGATCACGCTTCTAGGAAAATTTTTATCATAAAATTATCATTGAACATAAATCAATAGACGTTTGGAATTGAAGCTAAACTGATCAGTATAATAAATATCTTGTGTTTTTTTGGATCGAAATTGTGTGTTATACTGAAAGTACTGACATAAAAGTAAAAAATAAGCTCCAATGTGTTGTAACGTATCAATATCATTTACTGATTGTTTTCTTTCAATCAATATAATTGGATTATTTATTTTGATTTCTGGAAATTAAAGGGTTAAAAGTCAATTATTCAAACAAATTAACTTATTGTCAAACATATGCTCTGAGACCTAAACGTCCTTATTGCGATCCTTAAGGACAGGGATACTAAACTTGTTTGTTTTCTGGATCAATTAATTTGAATTTTCTTGGCACTATTTAAAGTTGTATCCAGCTGACAAGGAATTATAATTTGTGTTTTTTAAGAAAAAAAAACGCACGAGGAATTATTATAGCAGAAACTGAGTTCTCTAATAATTAAGATATTGCAAGTATAAATAATGTAGGTGATTGATTAGATGCTATTAGGTATAGTTATGATAACATTTAATGCTGCCAGATTAAATGCAATCTTCTACAACTATCCCAAGATAAGAACAGCCAACAAAGACAGACTGCCTGAATTCGCCAAATCTATGTGTATCTATCGTTTCAACTGCTCCTGTGGAGCCAGTTATATTGGGCGTACAATTCGGCAAGTCGCATTACTGAACATCATCCGTAGTGGTTAAACAAAGGACAGGTAAAAGTGATTAAAAGTTCTATTCTCTCTCACTTGGTTGACACAGGTCATCAAGTCGAATTGAATAAAGTTTTTAAGGTTATCTACAATATCCCATCTAATTTGCCACATGGAGTGCGCCTCTTGCACATTGCGGAAGCCATCACAATTCATGTTCACAAACCTGACCTTTGCATTCAAAAGAGATTCGTACAACCACTTTCTCTGCCCTGGCCATCAGTTTAAGATTTCCTTCAAAAGAACTATTTTTCATACTTCTTCCACTTGTTTTTTTTACTTTTGTAATTTTATTTCTGTTGCTTTTGAACTTAATAACTTCTCAACATTCATCTCTTGATTCTTACGTAACTACCATCCTATTGACCATCCGTTAAAATTCTGTTCCTTCTTTGTTTCTTACATTACGCAACGTAGCAACTTCTTGATCACTTTGAATATTAATAATCCTCTTTCTTCCAATTAATCAATGTTAATTTGAATGTTATTATGTAATTATTACGTAACGTATCTACTCGATGAGTATTATATTATTATTGTAAAACATATATATATTAATGTAGAGCCATGATGAAAAGCTAATTGAAAAGAAATTTCTTCGCTCAATTCGTTCCTTCTTTATTTACCAAATAGTTATGATTTTTTTCATCAACCAATGTACTCTTCGTTCAGTATGTTCAGTTTATTAAATCCCATCTTGTTGGTGATTGTTAGCGTTATTCTCTTATAAGATAATATTGTTGGGGACGTTAGATCCCCAGAACCCACTTGGAAAAGAACTTAATTTTGTAATTTTATTTGGAAAATTCGAATTTTTTTTTTGCGCCGAAAGCGCTCTTTTCACCTTCATGTCTTATTTCCCACTTGGGAGAACCTTAAATGCTATTGGTCCGTTGTGTCTTTTAGTATGCCATTTTGTAACTCTCCTCAAGGACGGCTTTGATTTGTGTCTGTTGTTATCGCTCGTTTTCTGGCTGTTTGTAGGATATACTTCCCCGTTCGGACTTCAACTTCTCTCTCTAGTTAGTGAGGCTGGGACGCAATAGAATAGCTAGTTTATTGGTCGTTGGTCACAAGTCTTTGTTCCATTTGTAGCCTAAGTGAACTCGTAACCGCTTCAAACCTAGCAAATATCAAATTTATTATTTTCTCGATAAGATAGTTGACAGTGAGATTATTTACTCATTAGTATTGAAGTGAAATTTCGACTTTACTTAATACGAAGCTCATCTCGTAATGCTTCATATTTGTATTAGCTTGTATACTGAGTGACTAACATTTGAGACAACCTTATCGTAATGTACAGAACAGAAATTATTATTCACAACTACCTTTTGTATTCATTCCTCTTTTATTCAGTTCGCTCTTAATTATTTATTTATCTTTTATTATCTGCGTATTTTTATTGGAGCTAATTTTCACGGTAACTTGGACACAATATTTTCTTTGTTACGTAATATATTCTTATGATTATACTACGTTAGTTATAATTCTCTATTACACAATGTTTTTTTCTCAGTATTTCTGTTAAGAACCTTCAACTTGAATAATAACAATGCTCTTAACTATTGAATATGTATTAAACATGAAATCCAATACATATTGACCCTAGTTCCTTGTTATTGATCTATACCTACGTATAAGTGAATTAACTCAACCTTTCGTCAAAATAATTCGATTATAGTAAAAAGCTAACTAAAGATTAAGTTTAAACTGAATGAACAAACTTATTGTTAACAATTTCTACCTTCGAAATGATTGATGCAGGTTCAAAACTTATTAGAGGTATTAATGCGTTCAATATTTCATTGATACTTTGTTGACATTCGCTAATCAGTACAAAACAATTATCTGTTGTATTATCTGCTAACTGCTTCCAACTAATTGATAACAGTTTAAAAACACCAACATACTTTCATCCTTAGTCAATGAGGAGAGAGATGATACTACTTTTGTAACATCCTACTACTAATTCATTTTTCTATTGTTTGTTTGAGCTTTTCATTGGTGTTTAACACTGCACTTCACCAGTCACTTATTAGCCCATGGACATCCTATGTAGTTTGTTTCGATATTGCCTGCCAATAAGAGATTGATCAATTGCAATCCTCAACATGAATGGGAAGATTCATATAACCAATATAAACATGTATTAAACTTCACATCATTGCACAAGCTAGTGGCTATCTAGACCATTAGCTAAGTAGATAACTCGATGACGTTTGAAACGAACAGTACTGGGTTTAAGTCTTGAGTGAATATCAACTCTGTGATTCAGATACGTCCAGCTGATGAGTCTTAAATGGGGAGAAACACACATCCTGAATTCCATTGCTTGCCATCATACATAACCTATAACCAAGTTGCATTGAGAAGCAATTATCCTTATCATTAGTAGTCATCAACTTCCCAGGTAAAAAAAATCGACTTGTAACATTCTGTAGTCCAAAGCTTTGAAGAAGAAGAATGCATTTTATAATTCACATTACCTTTGTGCAACAACATGCAATGTTCATTATATATATATATATATATATATATATATATATATATATATATATTTTCGGCTTGAAATATCTCTTTAATGCATTTCCTTTAATCAGATTTGTCAAACACCTAATAAAAAACTTTGTTTTTTCATCATTACACACAACTAATTCAAAATATCATTGTTTATTTCGATTGTTACTTTCTTATGCCTCCACTTTTTTTTCCCTCTCTTACTTTATTTATAATAAAAAGCCGATGGATCTGGTGGTGGAATCATTCAATTTACAAAAGATTATTATAATTTAAATGATATTCATGAAACATTCGATAAAATTCAACCATTTCCTAATGAAAATGAATTAAATAAATTAATAAGAACAAATGATCCTATTTATACAACTACTACTAAATTAATTGATATTGAAAATATACACTGGATTATATTGGGTGGTGCAATTGGTTGTGCATTAGTCATTATGATTATTATTACTTTAGCATTATTAATTCGTTGTCGAAAAATAAAATTCACTACAAATTTAACTAAAAGGTTAGTTACAATATATATGATTAAAAAAAAAGTTTTTTTTCTTTTTGTTATATATTTAAATTTCAATTGTTGGGAACATGAGCCAATTGAAGCTAGATCATTGTTGGAAACCTGGAAGCACTAGACGGCCATTTCATCCTATTGTGGGACGTCGAGTGCTTCCAGGTTTTCCATAGTGGTCTAGCTTCAATTAACTAATGATCTCAACAATTGAAATTATTAAAATCTTCACAAAACCCCCTTTTGATATATTTAAATGCTTATTATTTAATAATATTCTATTTGAATAGGAACTATTGATAAAAATAACTAAATATACTTCATTAAAGTTTTATATATTTGGCTTATAAATGTCATCAGTATAGGGGTTGTGGAGATTATTACGTTTTTTTGATTGAGATCATGTACAGATTGATGTTAGGCCATCGTTGGAAACCTGGAAGCATTAGACGACCGTTTCGTCGTATTTTTTGGGGGACTCCTCAGCAGTACGCATCCAAGATCCTGCTCGCAGAATTCAAACTCAGAGCCTTAGTCTTGCGGGCGAACGCTTAACCTACCGGACCACTGAGTTGGCATCCATTGGTGTTAGTGTCTAACATCAGTCTCATTTTAATTGGCCTAAATAATTGTATTTACTGATTAAATAGAAATGGAATTTTGTTTTTGCTTTTTTTCTCGGATTTAAGAAAACAATAAACTTTCTTGAAAATATTTTTATTCACCTACCGTTTTTATTCATGATGTTATTATTATTCATAATTTTTTTCTTTTAAAGATTAAATAAAAGGTAAAGTAAAAACATAATAACATTTGGCGCCAATCAGTAGTGAATATTGGACATTGAATAAGATCAAAATATTATTATTATTATTAATGATGTTGATGACGATGATAATAACAATATGATCGTAATTTTTTAGACAGTATAAACAATAATTTCATACTGGGGATGATTCAGTTATGTTAAATCAAAAGATTGAAAGTGGAAATTATGAAAGGAAAATAAAGGAAATGCTGAACTTACTGATGTCTATGAAAATATGTGAATTCGAATGATAAACTTATAAAGTTATGTAGGGTAGAGATATTCTTCGTAATTAAATAGAACGAAAATGCTGTTACATATTAAAGAATCTTGAGTAATATGAAAATAAATTATTTGGTCAAACTGATTTTGATAAATAAACGAACTTTTGTTTCATACATGGATTCTAAATTTAAATAATAGCCAATATCTTGTTTGCTTAGCTTTTAAGTGGTGATCATGTCCTGTTAAAAGTGAGCCTGAATCTTACAGAGGGTATAAGATCTCACAAGATTTCAGGTAAGTATTAGTAATTATTGAGGGATAACTCGAAGCTTATGTTCAGGGATTCACGTTAACTATTTTCAAACACTTCACAAGTACTAACTTAAGATTTAAAACACGTTTGAGGTTGAATGCAGAACTGTAAGATAAAGGTAGTTTTTTCTGTCACACTGCTTCTTGTATCATTTTCTATACCACATAGTGGATTGTGCTTGTTTATTTACTCACCACATTTCTACAATACTATTCAATAATTTATGGTTCATGGCAATCAAATCAGCAATACCTTACTAAGTATTTTTTGTTAAAACAGTGTCGCCTTTTTCCTGGTTTCACATTATAAATGTCTGTTTTTGTGTGATTATAAAAATCTACCATTTAATAAACCCAGGTTTTCTTACAATATTACCTACTAAATCCAGCGTTAATTTTCATCACGTAGTGATAAAAACCACATGCCTACTACTGACTAACGTTCCCCTCAGCTTCGGTGACAGGTTGTTGAGGCACCGAATTTGAATTTAGTTGTTTGCTATTCTTATGTGAAATATGAATTTCTTAGATTCCTATGTGTGTGATGTAGTGGGGTCATAACGCTAAGAAGTCCCAATTTTGGATGAGGCAGTTAAATTTTAATTATTCTCCGGTCACTGTGAAATAAAACTTAAAACTTGGCAAACTTGGAAATTTGTTGAGTTTGTAAGCTGTGTTTGTCACAAACTGATCTCCATTAAGGTACCAATCATTAAAAATCAGGGAACACCGGTTAGCCATTTTAGTCTATTATTCTAAGCATTCACTGGATTACTTGAATATTTTGAAATTAGATTTCTGAAGGGACTGCGGACGCAAACTTCTGAAGAGTTTCACATTAGGACGAGACAACTGTCCAGTTCTGTATGATTTACTATGGCACTCAAACTGAGTTCAACCCTTCAAAAATCTAAACATACAAGTTCTCTGGTCAATTAAAATTCTCTATATGTTTTACATTTACCACTGAATCTACATCAACTAGCTGAAATCATGAATTATTTTACTGGATCATTCAGATATTTTTTGTCTAATCAATGTTATGATATCTTTTATAAAAAAGCATCTCACTGTTATCCTAATGTAAAGTGGTGTTTCGATTATCAAATTAAAATGTCATTTGACAAACTGACATTTAACTAGATTGTAATTTCATTAGAATGATTTATGTAAAACTGTCTCGTCATGTTAATTACTAAAGTCAAGTAATATCAACAATTCCAACTGAGTCAACAATGAATATAAAATGACAAATAATTAAAAAAAACAAATAAACAAGGAAACCTAAAAAATTAATTATCCCAATTGTTTGTAAAATACTAATCAATCATCAATTTCAATAGAATATTTTAATAACACACCTTATTTGATATTATAAAATAAATCATATGAATATCGAGGATGAATTCAAGTTTTGAATCATCGTATGTCATTATGATCATTCATTTCGGAAGAGAAGTTTCATTTCGAATAAGAAGAAGACAGATATACGATTAATTATGACTAATGTCTGCATACTTTAAGTAGGATAAATTCTAAATTTGTTTCAGTAGTTCAACTAAATTCATTATTTATTTTCTTAACCAGTTAAAATTTTCATAATGGATATTTCGGCTCTCTTTTGGTATTCATCTTATTAATGTCATTTTATTATATCAGTGTACTGTGGAATTTTGTAGTGGCGTATATTTGTGCAATGTCTTATTTTGTTGATAAATTAACATATTGATGAGTATATCAAAGTTGAACTTGATAAATACTATCTTAATTCGATTGGTAATGAAAAGAAAAGAGTGAAATGAACGGTTGAGATCCTAGCAATTCATTTATTTGTATCTAATGTTTGTATGCAAAAGAATCACGAACCTACCACACCTTCTAGTCCTACAAATCATTAGTTCCAGTCGTCAATAATTATGTTACAACTACATAGTCTTACTTAGTCTTCTTCAGAGAAAACAACCAAAATTCTAATTATTGTAGAGAAAATGACGACAAAAACAAGTCTACAATAAACAATGAATACTATGAATACCAATGGACTATGAATAATAATAATTATTATTATTGTTATTTTAAGTATGGTACGATTGGTTTTAAGATGAATATAAAAACCAATAAATAGTATAGTGATTAACATTTTAATAACAATGAGCTTCAGTAAGCACGCTATAACTGGTTTACATTTAAGTTCGACTTCAGTTATGAAGGGGACAAATCACATGAGTAAATCGTGATGGTTATAGACAGAGATATGTTTTACACAGCTTGTCATATCATCACATATTTTAGAAAATTTATGGTTTTAATGACAGTCACAAACTAATGTCGAATATTGTCCAGATGAATGTTTTATTTAGTTTGTGATAGAAATATGAGTCACTCAATGTAAAATGTATTCGAATTATAATGTGTACGATATGCTTATAGAAATTCACTGATCATATTTGACCTGAAATTATACTCAGAACAATGTTAGTCATTCTTGATATTTTAAAATGAAAAGTAGACAATAATAAATTATACATAACAGAGTGTGTTGACTGGAAAGTCAATCAACTGCATACATTGTGTTTGGTGTCATGTTAGTTTATACAAGCAACGCTACAATTATTTAAGCTTTAAGCAAGTATGCATGTTATTTCGTCTTTGATAGTGCATAATACATTAACCTCACAAGTAAGATTCATTTTCATAGAAAGGTCATAATGATATGCCTTGAAGGATATAAATGACAAATAATTTCGTTTCACTCTCATGTCAATGATTGTTCATTAATATCAATAACAAGTAAATAGTTAACGCTATGAAGTGACATTTGCTCTAGGGCAATATCAATCTAGGAAGTGGTGGGCAGCTTGAGATTCATCCCTAACACTGCCAGCCATTCAGTGCTTCTCAGTTCCCAGTGGTTTTCTTGTTTAAGTCAATTTGTGATGTTAAATACAAAACCAAACAATAAGCTAAGACCACTTATGCGAAAACAAATATGTTCAGAAATTTAACTGAAATGTACCGTGAAATCCTTCCACATTTACATTAAATAATATATCTAACTGTTAATTAATGAGAAAAAACTAGTCACTATGTAAATAAACTTAATACACATTAACAGCCTTCGATTAGAAATATGTTGTTTCGTCTTACTTAGATAATCTTCAGAAGTGTTCATTCATGACCGATCTCATGACCTACAGGTTATGAAACCTGTAGACCAATCTGGGAACCAATGTATTTCGACATAGTTATTGAGACCAAAATACTTAAAAGTTATAGGTAATATTCCATATAGATTCGGGAGGACACTTTTATGAACTCCTTAATTAGTAATATCGAATCATATATTCCTTCATAGTTTCCCATGATTCACTAACTGATAGGATTTTGTGTTTAAAATAAATAAATCGTAGTTCACATGTAAACAGACTAAATATTTGTACACTTGAAACAATATACGAGCTTGAAAGTTACAATAAATGTTTTCGGCTTTCCACCTGTACAAATTACTGTTGTGTTAGTTTATCGTTCATTCATTAAATCAAATATTTCTTCAAAAGTTTGCAGTTGATAATCTTTAATACTTATCTATTTTTTTTACTTTAAATTGGGTCACATAAAAATTCTTGTTGAAAGAAGAGAACGGTTTATATCTCTA